TTGATGATAAACCATTGAATTGAACATTTCGATAGATAGCTTGGCAAAAATGGAAAAAGCAACCTTTTTTGTACTGTTGCTCCTGCGAACTGCAAGAAAAGATTTGCAGTCTCAATCAAAAAGAATTTAGAAAATAGAATAAAACTTTACCATAAGTGAAACTGCACGAGAAACTCCTTGTTCAAAATCAGTCATGAGTAAACACGGATTGAACTTTTTGTTAAGCCTTTTTGCTTTCGAGAATAAAACATGAAAAAGATAAATATACGTTGTTGCTTTTCAATCAGGAAGCAGTACAAATACTACCAGCAAACCTATGACAACGAACAGCATTTCAGTATATATATTTAAAACCATCAAATACATATGCTAATAGAATCACTTACATGATTCATGATGAATGGCTTGAATGATGTACACCTGATCAAAATTGGGTGGAGAGGTGGAAAATGTTTCATCCATATAAAGTTTATCACTATCAAATAATAATTTCAATTGAATATCTGATGACCATATGAGAATTCTTCCTTCGGGTGATGCATATAATGAATCATTCGTAGAAAATTGTGGATCATAACTGTCGTGTAATAAAAGACAATCCTTATTAAGATAATCGTTTTTATATTCATCTGGAATAGTGAAAGAATATGACTGTGGAATTGGAGGCATCATTACTCTTCGATTATTCACCAAGTTATGGCCTAAAGAGAGTGTACAATGATGTTCGTGTTATATGAAATATTAATGACATACCAAGATTAAGAATATTTGGTAAAACAGCAAGAGCTTCACCAGTGAGTAGACCTTGTCGTACTTCTTGTTCAGCAATTTGTTGCAAAGGTAATAATTCATTTTCAGCTCGTTTTCGCATTTGCTCTCTCAAATTCGTATTTCTAATGTAGCTGGATTTGGCAAATGTGAGTGGTTACTTTTATCCTTTGAGAATTTCACAAATTCATCATTCAGGTTTGTGTGTAAAATAACATTGCAAAGTCGATTAGCACATCGCCTGAACTTCAAAGTTTTAGATTTATTGAAATCTTTCATTTGAAATTGATAACCGTCAATTGTTATCATAGGTTTCCGTTTATTTGATGATGTTTTACCAATTGTGGGTTTAGATGAAGACGAGAATGAGGATGAAGAAGATGACGACATCTCATCAATTACAACAAAATCACTCGATTTCATGTTGAAATTTTTCGCTTTTTATCACTTATAAATTATGTTTCGATACGATCAATATACAAGTACAATGGCCATCTTTTCTTTTCTTTCATTTTCTGTACATGTAAGTAAATCCTCTATTTAAATGACTTAGCATACTACGAATTTTCGTTAAACCACAACGCCATCTATGTCTAAGAGATGCTTCATTCGGAATTTTCTTTGTCAAACGCAAAGGACAATTTTAACTGCCGGACCATTTCTCAAAAGACATTTTCTGTAAGGACATTTATCAAAGGACGTTTTGTAAAGGACAAAATTTAAAAGGACATTTTTTGCGAGGACCAAATTTTGAGGACATTTCCTAAAGGACATTCCTGCCATGATTCAAGACCATTGGCCACCCAACAGTCCTGATCTCAACTCATTGGAATACTGTATTTGGGATGAATTTGTAAAGGTCATCAATTGGAATGAAGTGACATCTAAAACAACACTAATCCAAGAATTAAAAAAAGCTATGAAAAAAATTCGAAAAGATGTTGTGTTTGAAAGTTGTAATTCTTGGACGAATCGATTGTATCGTATAGCTCAACACGATGGAGATTATTTACGATAATAAAAATATATAGGTTTTGTAGAGAATTTAACGACGAATCTTTTGATAAAAAAACTTTTTCGTATGCATTGAGATATGAGTGAAATATATGGAAAATACGGAGAGGCTCATTTATTCTTTGACACCCGTTATGTTGTTGTTTTTCTCTTTTTCAGCAGTCTTTTTTTATCACTTTCTTTANGGTTCATTTATTCTGTGACGCCCGTTAGATCTACTGTTCTGATAAAAGTCATTGAAATCGAATTTTCAACATGGCAGTTTTATATCAAATCTTTTCGTATGTCGAATTTTTTGGATCTCGAATCTCGAATCTCAAACCTTTGCGTAGCTTGAGGTTATCGAATTCAAATGTTTTCGAATCCAACTGGATTGGACACCGAATCTCCGGTTCCGGATTCGGATTCGGTACATACCTACTCAAAACACATAGCTCTGAAATAAGATCAGCATATAGACTTGTAACTAGCAGATATTATTTTATTTTGTGGATGAAAAGGCCATAAAACTAAGTCGTTATTTAGCGGTTCTTTCGTTTCTCCACTTCTTTTTCACCACTTGGAGCATTTTTCACCAAATATTTTATCATACGCAAAAGTTAATAGATGGAGAGAAACAGAGGTGATCATTGATCTGTGTCCTTTTGTATCGTTGTGCATTTACGTCAAAGATATATTTATACTTATATAACTGTATTCTTTTCTCTACACGTATTCGAAGGATAATCGACCAAGGTAGACAATACGAAGGCTTCATTCGATTTTAACACACACACACACACACACACACGAAGAAAAAGTAATACAATAGACACACAAAATTTGTCCTTGGTGAAAAATACTAAATATCAACATCGTTTTATATTGCTCTAACGAAACAAGCTGATCACTTGAAGTCGATCATTGCTCGACGCTACCAGCGTGACAGTGAAAATGGAACCTATATTATCTTTCAACTAGCTCTTCAAGAGTCAGTTAATATCAACAATGTTCAAACGTCTCGCCAACGTTAAATACCAACAACGATGCTAAATCTGTTTCGGGAAAAGTGCAAACTTCAGAGACAATAACTACATCACAGTATTTGATTCAACTATATATGAAAGCGCCTCCCTTGCATTACCAATGCTTTTCGCTTTTCTTCTCATATGTAGTAAATTCATTGCGCCAAATATGGAGGCAAGCAGTGATTAGTCTGACAAACATGGTTCAGTATTAAAATAACAGTCATCTTAATACTACACGAATTATATAATGCGTGCCGTATCTCGTAAAACTGTTCAATCGCTAACTAATGCATCGATTATTCGTTGCTCTTCTCATTGGGTGACAAGTGAATATGCCAATGGGCATATAACTCAATGGATTTATAATCATTTTTACAAACGCAGTTTTAGCCAAAAATGACCTTGACACCCATTTTTTCTGGCGATCATTTCTATGCGAAAGCTATGGAGCATGAAAAGTTCCATGTTCTTGATCTACTAGGTTGAGCAAAATGTTCGTAATGATTCGCACAAAACTTCCATTTGTGTAAGTGACCGCGAACTTTCTCCTCAACATAACATAATACATACCAGTTCATCGATGAATCTCAGGCATTACTCAAAGACGATATCCATCTCAGGTACACCATTATTGTTGCATTTCTAATCGTGATATCTTACCTGAACCTATTACCAAAGTCACTGCTCACTCACATAATATTCTTGAAATTTGAGTCTAGTGGATAGTTCACGACACTACCAATCATCAGTCCTAGCACTTCCGTTTGCAGGCATACACAGATGGTTGAACTTCTACTCTTATCGAGAGCTTTGACCTTCCTATCAACGCCCCCCATACGTATACCTGACCACCTTCTGAGCTCTAAACACCTCAATTTCTCTTCAACTTATCCCCTCTAGTCGCACGCCTTTCAACG